AAGTGTAGTGTGCCTATACCGTGTTTTAGTAAGACGGTTCTAGTGTAGTGTGCCTATACAGTGTTTTAGTAAGACGGTTCTAGTGTAGTGTGCCTATACAGTGTTTTAGTAAGACGGTTCTAGTGTAGTGTGCCTATACAGTGTTTTAGTAAGACGGTTCTAGTGTAGTGTGCCTATACAGTGTTTTAGTAAGACGGTTCTAGTGTAGTGTGCCTATACAGTGTTTTAGTAAGACGGTTCTAGTGTAGTGTGCCTATACAGTGTTTTAGTAAGACGGTTCTAGTGTAGTTTTGTCTATGCAGTGTTTTAGTAAGACGGTTCTAGTGTAGTTTTCTAGTGATAAACATTTAGCGAGAATAAAAACTGGTTTAGCATATCTGACCACATTAAAAACGGTAACTCCATCAGAACAGCATTTCTGTCTACTACTGTAATCATTCCTTACTTTCTCATAATTACATTGCAATTATGTTTTATTGAAGATTTATTCATGTAAAAAGATTTCCCAATTTTCATGCATTTTGCTACATGTTTAACTAGTATTCTTGTAAATATAGTCCAGTTACTAGACTAGTAATACACAGTAGGGGCCTGTTTTGTTCAACTGTCTGTGGTTAGGTCAGCATGAGCACGGATTGATCGAGGGTGGCTGTTCAGGATGAAGAGACGAATAAGACTTTGTCTTACTTTAACTTGACAGTAAGACTGGCCTAAGATGTGTGTAGCTAGGATTTATGGGTGATCGTACGAAGATATCATGTTAACACAGTTTAACCACACAAAAACGTTCTCCGTTTTTAGTTAATTGAGCTTGTCTGTGTGCTAGCAGCTGCCTTGTCAGGAACTGCAATTATAGAGGCTGGCTAGGTTATTGAAATTAAGAGTTGAACCATTTTAACTTCACATCAGAGCATATAAATACACACACACACACACATTCATTATTTCACTGGTACAGTTTGACTTATTTTAATACTTTGTGTAACACATTACTCTGTGCCTCCAGTTATTGTGGTACTTTCAACTTCCCCGTTGGTCATCAGATATTCCCAAGAACATAAAATCATGCTTTGGTACAGATTACAAGTCTAAACTGAAACTATAAAGTACCCTTTAATCATGAGATATTTGCTATGTTTTACAAAACAACTTCAGTTATCCGATAGAGATTAACCATTCCCGTAAAACTTAGCAAAATATGAAAACCACGGTTTCAGTACCATATCAGCATCCTCCATCCACGTGTGTTTGCGATCCTCATCTTCTACTCCAATACCAATGACCGTTTTAATAATGGCCTGACAGGTCAGCACAGACCCTGACTTCTCACACTCTATGGCATCCTTAAACCACTGCTCTCGATTGATTTCTACTCCATTTGCTCTTAAAGAGCTGATAGCTGTATGTATAGAGGGAAAGAATACTTGTATTTAATGTGTACATTCCTCATAAAATCATTAAAAACTGACAAACACCCTGCAAAACAAAATACTCATGTAATTCTAGACAATAATGGTTAACTGAAATAAAATTACACTAGAACTGTCTTACTAAAACACTGTATAGACACACATTGCACTAGAACTGTCTTACTAAAACACTGTATAGACACACTACACTAGAACTGTCTTACTAAAACACTGCATAGACGCTTCAATCAAGAAATGTTAAATTTTCATCGGTATTAAAATGTTAAGTCTCAGTGGGAAAAAGGAACTTTATAACAAAAGCAGTAATATTTGTAAGTTTTTTTCTTCTGCTTCACTGCCCTGTAAAAGCAGTAATGTTTTCAAGAGTTTATTTTTCCTCTGTTTCATTGTTCTATTTGAAAAGATTTTTCTTTTTCCTGTTCCACTCTTCCACCTGTTCTCTTGTAAAGGCAGTAATGTTTACTAGCCCCCCTCCCATTTCATTCTCCTATTTCTTGACAAAAATGTCTTTGATAATTGTTTTCAGTTTGAATGCTTTTGTTTTAAAAAGCTCAAGTTTTCATGTATAATTTTTTTATATATACACATTAGTGTTTTTTGTTTAACAAAAAAGGAGAGAAACATTATAAATATTGTACTTCATTACAGTGTGCCAATCAAGGAGCGCATGAATGTGCACGTGCAGTTCACGCACATGCCTTGTCAGTTTTCCCCAGCAAAAAGAGCATCTGGTTACGAGCTGCCTATTTCGAGAAGAATCACGGGAGTAGGTACGTATTTGTGACATTAAGTAACTTAAGGACCACATGAGAGAAGAATCACTGGAGTAGGTATGTATTTGTGACATTAAGTAACTTAAGGACCACATGAGAGAAGAATCACTG